TTTGTATTAGCGAATCGCGTGCCCCAAATACAAATAGCTGACAGTACAAGTGATGGCGCACACACGCTCAATTGCTGAATATGATGGAGTCGTATAAAAACCCTCCGGTAGTAGTGTCTTTGTACAATTCACATTTGGCCACCATGAAGGCGGTCTGCTTGCTGGTCTGCCTCGCCCTTGCCCACCAGTGTGCGGGCAGCATCTTCAACCCATACCAGCCAAGGATCCGCGGGTCCAGGGTACAGCAGCATGCCTCAAGGTCGGCAGACTACGTCGACCCCTACCTACAGGAGCAGTACTCCCGGTACCTGCCTACCTACGCACAGCAAGTGTACCGCCAGACAGAGGAGAAACATGCCCCCGTCTACACACAAGTGAGGAAACAGAACTACGTTTACGAAGAGCCACGGATACTCAGGAGCAACATGGCCGTCAACGACGACTACGAACACATCCAGTATGAAGAGGACAACATCAATGAATCCCAGAAGATCAGCAAACACTCCGACTCTTCCGTGATCTCAAAATCCAATGAGATCGACTCCCAGGAAGCTATCAAACCTCAGAACCGTCTTGAAAACTTCGACCAGCAGTACTTTGCACCGATGTTCGCCGATATGGGTCCCCTCACTCGCATGAAAGTGTCTTTCAAGAAGCAGCCCGAAGCCCTCCACGGTGACCCCATTATGTGGCGCAACCTGAAGATGGCCTCCAGCGAAGAATGGCCCGTTGAGAAGAAAGACTTGGTAAAAATCTTCAGTGAAGCCATGAAGGCCATGAAGCACATCCAGCCTGAAGCCAAGACCAAGCTCCACAAGGCCGTCGAGGTTGCTTCCCAAGAAGACATGGAAGACTCACACTTGAATGCTACCGAACTTCTGAAGAAGTACCAGTACCCCGTGGAAGAACACACAGTCAAGACCGACGATGGCTACTACCTCACGCTGTTCCGCATCTCAGGCAAGCAGTCCATCAAGGATGTGCCCAGGCCGGTCGTGTTCCTCATGCACGGTCTGCTCGGTAGCGCCGACGACTGGCTCCTGATGGGTCCGGGCAAGTCTCTGCCCTACCTGCTCGCCGACGCCGGCTACGACGTCTGGCTCGGCAACGCCCGCGGCAACAAGTACACGCGTCACGTCAGCAAGAGCCGCGCCCAACCCGACTTCTGGCAGTACAGCAACGACGACATCGCCCTGCACGACTTGCCAGCTATGATCGACTACGTTCTCGAGGAATCGAAGACGCAGAACATGTACTACATCGGCCACTCCTCGGGAACTACAGCTTTGTTCGCTCTGCTCTCCACCCGGCCCGAGTACAACGACAAGATCGTGATGATGCACGCGCTGTCCCCGATGGCGTACATGAGCCACGTGCGCAGCCCCCTGCTCCGCATGATCGAGCCCTCCAGCCGGTTCCACGAACGCGTTAACCACCAGCTCGGTCAAGGCGAGTTCAAGCCCAGCGAGGAGTTGGTGCGCACCATGGGCGGCGTGATGTGCGAGAACGAGATCGGATGCAAGAACGTCTGCTCGAACGTGTACTTCGTGATGTCCGGCGTGAACGCGGAGCACCTGGAGCCGAAGCAGATCCCGTCCATCATGAAGCACTTGCCCGCCGGTGCGTCCACGAAGCAGATGCAGCAATACGGCCAGACCGTGGCCGCACACGAGTTCAAGATGTACGACTACGGCGTCCAGATGAACGAGAAGGTGTACGGCAAGCCGCAGCCGCCCAAGTACCAGCTGGAGAAGGTGAGCGTCCCCGTGGCGCTGTACTACAGCGAGCACGACTGGCTGGCGCACCCCAAGGACGTGAAGCGCCTCGAACGCGAGCTCCCCATCGCGATGTCGAAGAAGATCCAGGAAGACTACTTCAGCCACGGCGACTTCCAGTTCTCGAAGAAGGCCCCAGAGCTGGTCTACAAACACGTACTCGACTCCATCCAGAAGCAACATCAAAAGCTGCAAGAACAGGATAAATCTGTTCAATAGTTTAATATTTTTGTACAAATAATTGAATAAGTGTATCATTCATTAATTAATTATTGTAAGATGTATCATTTTATATTTAATTTTCATTGAGATATAATAAATCCGTCCGTTTAATTATATTTTATTTTTTTATTTCTGATCTTATAATACTGTTTTAGGTAGGTACATTACATAATACAAGAATTTATAGTTGATTTTACATACATTGAGCCTTTTCTAATAAACATACTAACTAAATATTTTGTCTAGAAACTAACTAGAGGCACTAATTGCAAAATGTTAAGTATAGCTAGTAATTTACGTGGTAACCGTTCATTAAATACACTTAACACAAAGTTAGGCTTAGCTAGTTACATACTTTCATTACTAGTAATGTCTAGACATTGGATGAACAGTTTTCGATAAAACCTAAACAGATACTAATGTCGAATAACACGTAATCGATATCTTACATAGGATAGGTACAACAGGTCATTAAAAATCCTATGTACTCACTTAGTAGGTATAGCCCAACGGCAACGGTTATAAAAAAACTGTGGTGTTGGATTGCTCCGATTTCAGGGTTAATGTATGTCGTTTATCCCCGATTAACGGGAATAAATTACAGTATTGACAAGTCTTTTTACAATTAAACTTCTTTATAAGGAAAATAGACCTAAATCAGTGATGGATGGGTATTGGGTAGTTTCCAACAGGAATATGTCAGGAATATGTAGGCCCAGGCCAGGGGCCGCGAATCCAATCTTCCAACGAACACAAACTGCTTGCGAGCAAAATAATATAAAGTGATAAGAGTATTTTTTTATCCACAACGAGGAAGCTCTTGGCCTGTATCTCACCTGACGGTAAGTGATGACCAGGCCGAAAGTGGAAGCGAGCTTCACCCGGAATCCTCAACCACAGAGGAACTGACTATCTTACCTCTAACTGCCGAAACACAACAATGCTGTTAACATTGTTGTTATGGCCACATACTTTTATTAGCTCACTGCGTAACTGCAGCAGCTGCAGATGACCACCGCCTGCTCTCATCATCGTGCATCGGTTTAACCAAGGAGTTCCCAACCAGCGGTCCGCGGACCACAGATGGTCCGCAGGAGTCATAGGAGGAAATATTTATGGTCATGATGATGGTCCGCGAACGATTTTAAATTTCGCGAGCGGTAGACTTCGCGTGTCATGATGAGAGGCCCATCATACATAGGCTAAGTATTAAATATTATTCGTAGTATTACCTATATTGAGCTTGTACAGAAATATGCCTCAAAAATCAAATTAATGCGAAATTAGGTACTTTTTTAATTCAGACGATTTCCTAAATCAAGTCGTCCTCTTAAAAATCATATTTATTTTAGATAGACTTTTTGGTTTCACTTTATCTCGGTTTTTTTAATGGTTTCTGTGAACAATAAAAAATTCAAAATGGTCCCTGCTCATGAAAAGATTGGGAACCATTGGCTCAGTGGTATATTATCTTAACTCCTTATTAACTCGGAGGTTCTGGGTTCAATTTTATTAATAAAATTAGGTAATTCGTTAACAAAAGTTTAAAAGGACAATCTATTCGAAATGTAAAGTTAATTAAAGTTACTTTGCTTCACAAGGGAGTGCATAAATTTTATAAAAAAAAATAAAACCGACTCCAAAAAACCTACACTAAAAAGCAGAATAATAATTACTAATTACCTACTTATTTATTAGGACGAATTATTAATATTTATGTAGGTATACCATGATTGATACTTCTGGAGTCGGTGCCAAGATTATGAAACATGTAAAGTTTGCCGGCACCGACTCCAGAAGTATCAATCATGGTATACCTACATAAATATTAATAATTCGTCCTAATAAATAAGTAGGTAATTAGTAATTATTATTCTGCTTTTTAGTGTAGGTTTTTTGGAGTCGGTTTTATTTTTTTTTATAAAATTTAACTTATTTCTTGCTTTTTAGTTGACTAATTATTACCTTGATGTTACCACTGAAGGTAGGCAGTACATTGAGACCATATTCTTAATGTATATTATAAAAAAGTTCATCCCCAATTTTCCACCCTTGGGGGTGAAAATTTTCTTCAAATTCGCATGAAACCACCCTTTTGATAATACCTATTCAACAAAAAAATAATCGTTCAAATTGGTTCATAATCGGCGGAGATATTGCGTATAAAAAAGTTCATCCCCAATTTTCCACCCTTGGGGGTGAAATATTTTCTTCAAATTCGCATGAAACCACCCTTTTGATAATACCTATTCAACAAAATAGTAATCGTTCTAATTGGTTTATAATCGGCGGAGATATTGCGTATAAAAAAGTTCATCCCCAATTTTCCACCCTTGGGGGTTGTTTTTTTTATTCTTAAATTTAAATGGGACCACCCTTGAGATATTACCTATACGCTGAAAAAAGATTTGTTCAAATCGGTTCATAATTGGCGGAGCTATCGCGTAACAAACATAGAAAAAAAAAAAAAAAAAAAAAAAAAAAAAAAAAAAAAAAAAAAAAAAAAAAAAAAAAAAAAAACATACGGGTCGAATTGAGAACCTCCTCCTTTTTTTGAAGTCGGTTGAAAATAGTAATTCATTCCTACACTAACACAATTATTATTTTTAACGGCCTCAATCAACCGTGCAGATCCCTAATCCATATCTGTGGCGCAGATTTACTTATTTATTACACACACCGTGACACCAAACACAAGCAACGCGACGTTACGTAAATAAATAAAATTTTGGTAAAAAATTATAGAAGCCGATGTTGAATAGCAAATCAAATCTCACTTTTTCGAAATCGGTTAAAAATAGATTGTGCCAATTTTTGCAGTAGTTCAAACAAAATAGTGTAGATGTCACTTCATTATTTTTGTAAACGAACGATTGGCAGTTTGACATTTTGAACAGCCCACGCTTTGTTTTGACATTTGATTTCCCTTTCTGTCATCGAAGCGTTACCGTGCGAGCGAGACAGTCATACGACACACCTTGTGAGCGAAAGAGACAACAGCGCGACGGCGCTGTAGCTTCCCGCCGTCCCCCGTACGTCAGTTGCGCTCGGTTCGGTTTGCTGTGCGTAGTTTTGTCGAATTATTTTTATTTTTCGACCAAAACATTTGTTAAATGAGTGTTTTTTGATATTGGACAGACATTATTAGTGTGTACGAGTGAAGAAAGCTTTGTGCGCATGGATTAAGTTACGATGTTACCTCCTACGGCCGGTATAGCACAAGAACAACGCGACCGGCCCGATATGGCAGCATTTCAACAGCGTCGCGACGTAAGGGAACTGACCCGGGAGATCATCAGGGACGCCCGGGTTGCCAACAGACAACAATCAACATCCCCTGGAGGTAAGCAAGCCGGTCCAAAACGACGCCACGTTTCCGCCATGGCATGTCAAATTGACATGATACGTCAAGGTGACATTTAAATAAAAACAAGGCCTTTTCCCACCTAAAATTCCAATAGAAATAGAATATTTTCCCATTACGAACCCTTTAAAATCATTTGCAAAGGAATTTAGGCCTGTTACGTCACCGAGGAACGCGATCTCGTAAAAGTAAAATGGCGCCAATGCGACTGAAAGAAATGCTTGATTACACCCTGGGCACAGTTTCTGCTCTGTAACCCTTGATTTCTATTATTTTTCATGGTCTGCCGTTATAGTTATCAGGAATTAAATATAACTAGTATTAATCAAGTTAATGTAGATCGCTCAGAACTTAACGTAGAGCCTCGAAATTTGGCACGTGTGTGAGCTATTTTTAGAAAGTAATTTAGCTGCCTATTGCCTAAACGTTGATGACTAGCCAAAGTTTCCTGGTTTTCTGCAAGACATAAATTGGTAACTGCTATAGAAATCATGTTGTTTGTTGTTGTTATTGATATCCTTTTGACTTTTGTAAAATGTCTTGATGACAGAATATTGACAGAAGCGGTCATGGCATACAAGATGGCGGACGCGCGGGCCGGATCGATCACGCGCTCCGCCAGGCGGCGCTATAGTCGTTTTGTTTGTTTGGCTCAGTTTTTAAAAGTTTGAATCAAGTTTTTCAAATCAAAATATTACATTAAACCCCCCATTCTTGTATTTCAAACAAATCAAAGATATTTGAGAACAATATTGAAGCTTAAATTCTATTAGTTTTACATTAAACGTTATTGTAAAGTTTATGTACTTGGTCCTAATACTTGCTCGCTCAAGTTCTTTAATGCTGTAACGAATTAAGTAGTTTATTTTTTGTACAAAGTCCATTTGCTCTTTAAGTCTCACTTTTTTCAAGTTTCAGTCACTTTTTGTTTTTAACACTCCTTTGTTTTAATTATGTTTATGACTAGATTTCAGGTATTCGTTCACAACCCACTCAACTCGGTTAGATAAGTAGATAGACGTACACATTGTATTTGGTAAAATAAAACCACATCACAGCATAGACAGAAACTGATGCCAACGGTTGCCATATAGGGTCATTCCATGACAAATGTTACCGAGGGTGAAAAACTAAATATGTTCTTTTCGCATTAAATCTTATGAATTTAGAAAGTAAACATTCCAAATTATAAGGTGCAACAAAAAAAATTTGGAAGAAACAAGTAATTTTTGAGTTATTAGTCTTCAAAGTCTATACATAAGTCAACTGTTTGAATGATCATTTTCTCTCTTATTATTGGTAGTACGATTTAAAGAAAACTATCCATCTGTGAACCATTTTGCCACTACATGATTTGAGGGTATTTATCATAGTATTGGTAGATAGCGTCATAGTCCCAAAAAAATTGATAATCATCAAGTTTTAAGTGTGTTTTCTTGTTACTTCGGCGATGTAACACCCGAAACAAAAAAACAGGTATTTGTTTTATTATTGTACCTTACACATGGATTAGGGTAACAATATTTGGTAAAAGTAAGGTCATGGTAGTAATGATTTCAAACACTAACTAATATCTGAGCTTGATACTAATTTAGTATGTTTTTTTCTTGATTAAAAACTGTAACACCCGAAACGTTTCGGGTATTACATTTTTATTTATAAGTTGATAATGCGTATATATTTCGACGTTATAAGGAGTTTTTCATTAAATAGAGTGTCGTTATAAAGAGTACTGTATTTTTAACTAAATGGAATAAACATCATAGTAATCAATCATATCAAATTATTATGGCATTTTAAATGTTTAGACCCTTACTTATTGATTTGTTAATCTCATTCGTCATCATCATCATGATTATTTCAGGGATTACTAATGTTTGGCCAAAAAACGTTTCCCAAATTATCACATCGCAAACAACGTTTCGCAAATTTTCATTTGGCAAATTCACATTTGGCAAAGCAACTTATTGCAAACTTTTAATTCGCAAATGTTTTTTTTGGCATATTATTGTTTAGCAAATTATTGTTAGGCAAAGTATGGTTTGCCAAATGTTTCATTAGGCAAAAATATTTCACGATAAACTATTTACAAAATAATTTGATTGGTGCATAGAATGGTATACAAATTAGCTTATGGTTATTATTTTGTTTAGTGGGGAGTTAATATAAAATTTGTTCTACATTAATTTCCTTATTTCATTCTTTGTATCGAAATTTCCACATGATTCATTAACAATAGAGGTGATTCTAGCGCTCGGCGGCCGCTGCCGCGGCACGCTTCGCTCGCCTTCGCGCATTAAGGGTCACTGTTCTAACCTAACCTAACCTAGAGACTTGGTTTTTTTGACAAGTATTGTTTTTGATGGGTTCACTATTCTGATCTCACCTATCAACAACATCCCAGACAGTATCAGCATTGGATGTCATTATGCAACGGGCAGCAGCTCTATTTAAACGTAGACTTGCGTTTGCGGAAGTGTCGCGCCTTGCGTTCTAATCTCATTGTATTGGAGACTAGCATTCAACCACCGGACTGACAGCTTTTGATGCTACAGTAATTTATTTATTTTATTCATTTTGTTACAATACACAAACAAAGTAAGTTACTAGAATTGATATAACTATACTATTAAATATAATTTCTAGTAATTTGACTAAGCTATACTATTATGCATCAATAGGCTTTAAAAATGTTTTTCGATTGTAGTCCGCAAAGTACACATGTGACACACACCACACCAAAATGTGGTGACTTTCGAGTAATTTGCACATGTTTTGGTATCATTTATTATTTTGTGTAAGTTGTGTTTCTGTTAAAATGGAATTTCTTTTTTCTTCCAATGATGAAAAATAAGTACCTAAGAGCCCTAAATGAAAATGGCGCCAAGTTTGGTACAAACAAAATTTTTCGCCGTCGAACACTTATCAAGTTCTTTGATAGTGGAAATTATTATATTAACTTCGCTGTAATCCTACTAATGTTATAAATGCTAAAGTTTATTTGGAAGTCTGGATGTTTACTCTTTCACGCAAAAACTACTGAACGGATTTTGATGAAACTTTATAGTATTGTTTATAGCCCAGAATAACATTTATAGGTTATAATTTGTGACAATCTGTGACTAACTAAATTTCACACGGGTGAAGCCGCGGGCAAAAGCTAGTTATCAATAAAGTGTGAATAATAAGATTAATAAGTTTTAATTTATTTTTGATAGAGTACATCCCTCTACCTACAGGGTGAGTTTATCGCAATTTGCAATTTGCGTTATGTTATGTTATCGGAAGCGCACACATTCGCACTAACGATATGCAAATCTCATTTCATCACAGCACAAGTGGTGGCGTCGGTCAAACGTGCGCGTATTACAAAACGTAAGGCATTGTTCAGACCAGCGTATTGTGGGCCGCTGACTGTAAGGCCGCTTGTACACGCAAGAAAAGTCACGGGGCCTATAACAAGAATTCTTGTCGTTTCTACTATCTACACATGAACTGTGTACATTCCTCCGGCGCTGACCAAGAAATAATTATTGTCTGCAATGTCTGCGCTAGGTACGACACGCGGGGGACAAAATTTCGTAGCTAGGTTCGAAGAAATTTTTGTCTTTTCTGCGGCAGACACGGTAAAATATTTCTTAGCATGCAACAACAAGAAGCCAATGTTTGGCCAAACATTTAAATCTGATTGGTTAATCAAAACACTTTTTCGCTCCGCTCCGCCTAGCCTTGGTGGAAAACGGGCCTAACGCCAACTTCTCGTCGCTATTTCGTTTGGTGTGAACAATGCCTAATGCTCATTATCGCAGTATTGTTTTCACGACCGTGGCTTATTTGCTTACGGCGAAACTTGATGTGCGGCGTAAGCGTGGACTTTGACACATATCCGCTGAAACTTGAATAAATTAATATTCAATGCTATTTGAAAGTTTTATTACTTACTAGCTTTCCGCCCGCGGCTTCGCCCGCGTGGAATTTTGTCTGTCACAGAAAAACTTTATCGCGCGCGTCCCTGTTTCAAAAACCGGGATAAAAACTATCCTATGTTCTTTCCCGGGACTCAAACTATCTCTATGCCAAATTTCATCAAAATCGGTTGCGAGGTTTAAGCGGGAAAGCGTAACAGACAGACAGACAGACAGACAGAGTTACTTTCGCATTTATAATATTAGTTGGGATTGTAGTACTAGTTTTTACCGCGGCTTCGTCAGGCCCAGCGTAAACAAAGTGTCAAAGATCGCCTTCATCGCACGCGTATCTCCCTTTCATAAACCGAAATAAAAACGGATGTTTTCCCTGGGTCTGAAATTTCATCATCAAAATCGATTCAGTACTTTTAAATGTGAAAAGTCAAATAGAACTAGCAATATGAGCTTAGTAGATTTTATTTCAATATGATTTATTTATTCACTAGCGGCCGCCCGCGACTTCGTACGCGTGGATCTCCTTTTACCCCCCCTTCATCTATCTTACGCGGTTCAGATTTTTTCATACAAATGTTTTTTCCCACTAACTCCCGTTCCCTTGGGAATTTTGCATTATCCTGTTGTAACTAAGCTTTAAGTTTACTAAGGTACCTGCATGCCAAATTTCAAGCGTCTAACTTAAGCGGTTTAGATTTTTCATACAAAAGGATTTTCCCGCTAATTCCCGTTCCCGTGGGAATTCCTAAGTATCCTATAACCTGCCCAGGAGTATGAAGAATAATTGTACCAAGTTTCGTTAAAATCCGTCAAGTNTTCCCGCTAATTCCCGTTCCCGTGGGAATTCCTAAGTATCCTATAACCTGCCCAGGAGTATGAAGAATAATTGTACCAAGTTTCGTTAAAATCCGTCAAGTAGTTTTTGTTTCTATAAGGAACATACAGACAGACAGACAGACAGACAGACAGACAGACAGACAGACAGACAGACAGACAGACAAAAATTTTGCTGATTGCATTTTTGGCATCAGTATCGATCACTAATCACCCCCTGAT